GCTCACTATTAAAAAAAAATGAAAACAAAAAAATCCAAGAAAAGTATATAGCGGGAATAAGTATCTCCATCTGGCCTTTCAGAAATATCTTGCTACCATCCAAATCATTCCTGTGTATGTAAAAACTTACACATGTATATCTTTTTGTCTGCAAATGGGATTGTATTATGTGCATTCTTTCTTCTGTAACTTGCTTTCTTTTTCACTGTACAGTATATCAGATGTCTTTGCATGCCAGAAATAGATATTTACTTAATTTTTTTTTAATAGCAGCATTGTATTTTATGGTTTGGAGATAAATATTATTTAACCAACCCTTGTTAGAAATTTAAGTTCTTGTCCTGCTATTACAAACAATACAATAATGAATTCTTGTACATGTATCCCTGAACCTGTGAAAATATATCTTACAGAGATTTTTTTTAAAAAATGAAACTTCTAGTTCAAACAATATGGCACATTTTTAATTTTAATAGATTGTGCCAAGTTGTACTTCAGTGGGATTTTAAAATTTTAGTCTATTGCTAATCTTTTCACAGAGTTTAAGATAGCAGCATATTTCTTGCCCTTAGTAATGTGTATAATCCTTTGAGAAAATGAACAGAATCTTTAAAAATGTTGAAATATAGTGTTTAAAATATTCAACTCATTTTCTCATAATATATGCTAATTACTGGCTGGGCGTGGTGGCTTAATGCCTGTAATCCTAGCACTCTGGGAGGCCAAGGTGGGAGGATCACTCAAGGTCAGGAGTTCAAGACCAGCCTGAGCAAGAGTGAGACCCCCTCTCTACCATAAATAGAAAGAAATTAATTGGCCAACTAATATATATATAGAAAAAATTAGCTGGGCATGGTGGCACATGCCTGTAGTCCCAGCTACTTGGGAGGCTGAGGCAGTAGGATCGCTTGAGCTCAGGAGTTTGAGGTTGCTGTGAGTTGGGCTGACGCCATGGCACTCACTCTAGCCTGGGCAACAAAGTGAGAGTGTGCCAAAAAAAAAAAAAAAAAAAAGAAAGAAAAAGAAAGAAAGGAAGGGAGGGAGGGAGAGAGTGAGAGAGAGAGAGAGAGAGAAAGAAAAAAAGAAAGAAAAAGAAAGAGAAAGAAAGAAAGACATTAGCGAAAGAAAGAGAGAGAGTGAAATAAAGAGAGAAAGAAAGAAAGAAAGAGAGAGAAAGAAAGAAAGAGAAAGAAAGAAAGTAAGTAAATAGCTGGGCAATTAAAAATAGAAAATAGAAAAACTTAGCTGGGCATGGTGCACGCCTGTAGTCCCAGCTCCTCAGGAGGCTGAGGCAGGAGGATCGCTTGAGCCCAGGTGTTTGAGGTTGCTGTGAGCTAGGCTGAGGCCATGGCACTCTAGCCCAGGCAACAGAGTGAGACTCTGTCTCAAAAAATAAAATAAAATAAAATAAATGCTAATTACTGATGAGCATAACCCATTACAGCAGGTTGGACTAGTAATTTTGAGATTTATGTCAGAATTTCACCTATAATGCTTTTAATAGCTAATGGGTGGTGTATTATATTTTCTGGTTCATCTTATAAATGTCTCAGAGCACATCTGTGTCAGCTTATCTGTTATAATTAATTTGAAATAGGTTACTATATTTCTGTTAAAGGATTTTCTGCTTTCATTTGTCTTATGAATATTTGGTGTTCCTACAACTCAGGTTGTAGAAAGCTATTATTATCCTTTTAATCTATGAGGAAAGAGTGAGAGACTGTTGTCTGCAATTGCATGTTATGCTTGTAGCTGTTTGTGGGAAGAGTGAGAATTAAAAGCTAACATATAATTATCATGAGTAGAAGTATTTTTATTTTTAGACCTCTGAGTATATTCTAAGATTCTGAGTGGGTATATATGGATATCTGTGGGGTAGCACCAGCCTGGGGACGTTTTCTTTCTCATTATGCATATAATTATTGAGATCAGTGCTTTTCTTGTAGGGAAAAATGATTTTGGAATTTTTGAGTATTCTCTTTGTATTTTTCATGACCTAGCTAACAAGCTTTGTGGTGTGAATGGTAGTGAATTGGTGGCGAAACTGTGTTGTTAATAAACACTAATTTAAGATAAACCAGATTTCTGGTAATGTTCTTGTTGGAGTTTAGGAAATTTCTCTAAACATAAATCCTGGTAGGCTTGCGGAGATTTAAATGCTGTTCTAGTATTTTTTAAAAACTCAAAATGTAGGGTATAAAAACTCACCTTAAGTACTTGTAGGTCTTGGGATATGGTATTACGTTGACAGATAAGTTAGTAGAGATTTTCTAGTACTGAGAGCTGAATTTTACCCAATGGCATGATATGCATATGTTCTGTATGTAAACTTTTAATTTTTTTTCTTAGAAGATGAGAGGCAGTAGTCTGTTATTGTTGAGCTTATGCCATCTTCTTGGAATTAAGATTTAGCTACAGAATTTCCTATTTTTATTCATGTAGGAAGAACAGTTTGTTTTTAAAAAATTGAAATCTTGCCCGTTCAGTAAGTTTATTGTTTTCAGGGGATAGAGGACAAAAATAAATAGCAGGACATGTAGAGAGGTTGTCAATTTATGGCATTTGTATACAATTTAAAGATAGAGACAAGTTTCTCAACAGGAAGAGAATGTCAAAAAGGATTTCATATTTATTTTATATCACATTTAGTTGAAAGTTCCATAAACTAATTTCAAGATTACTACCACTTTTTAAATATATAAGAACTATCAGCCAGGTGCAGTGGCTCACACCTGTAATCCTAGCACTCTGGGAGGCCCAGGTGGGTGGATCGCTCAAGGTCAGGAGTTCGAGACCAGCCTGAGCAAGGGTGAGAACCTGTCTCTAGTATAAACAGAAAGAAATTAATTGGCCAACTAATATATATAGAAAAAATTAGCCAGGCATAGTGGTGCATGCCTGTAGTCCCAGCTACTCGGGAGGCTGAGGCAATATGATCACTGGAGCCCAGGAGTTTGAGGTTGCTATGAGGTAGGCTGATGCCAGGGCACTCTAGCCTGGGCAACAGAGTGAGACACTGTCACAAAAAAAAAAAAAATAAAAAGTGTGTGTATGTGTGTGTGTGTGTGTGTGTGTGTGTATATATATGTATATATATATGTGAACTATCTAAGAAATTTCACTAGGATTTAGGTTTATTGTGGCTTCAGGAAACATTTGTTGCCTGCTTGATTTGTATTAGGCACTAAGCTCGGTTTTGCAGATGGAGCTAAGCCTTTCCTTTGCCTTTAAGGAAGTGATTAACTAAAACACAGTTAAGTACATTATTTTAAAAGCCCTTGGTTCCCTTAAATACCTAAGTTGGACTGAGGGGTTTGTGGTTTTGTAGAGGATTGTGACTGTTTAGTTTAGAAGACTGCGCAGAAGGTAGTCAGTTGATGGGGAAGAGGAAGGTCATGGAAGCAAGAGAAAATGTGGTATTCAGGAAATTGCATGTACCTGATCATGGTTGTCACATGGAGAAGGAGGGTGATTAAGAAGTGACTTTAGAGAGATAGGCAGGGCCCAAACATGAAAAATTTTACATATACTACCAGGGATTAGATCTTTACTTTGAGAAGCTGTCAAAGGAAGTATGTAGGTGTGTGTGATTGTGTCATATTTAAGTTTTAGAGCAATGGTTCTTAAACTTTTTGTTTCAGCATCCCTTTACCACGATTTATTATTTCAGGATATTATGGGGGTACATTTTAGTTACATGTTATGACTTTGCCACACCCAAACCATGATTTGAGGTGTTCCCTTCCCCCCCTACAATGCTTACCACGTCCATTAGTGGTGAGTTTACCCACCCCCATCCCCCTATCCCCCAAAGAATATTACTACTGTGTGAGTACCTTAGTGTTGATCAGTCAGTGCTAATTTGATGGGGAGTACATGTGGTGTTTATTCTTCCATTCTTCGGAGGATGGGCTCAAGCTCTATCCAGGAAAATATGAGAGGTGCTAGATCACTGTCATTTTTTATAATTGAGTAGTATTCCATTGTATACATATACCATATTTTATTAATGCACTCATGGATTGAAGGGCACTTGGGTTGTTTCCACAGCCTTGCAATAGTGAATTGTGCTGCCATAAACATTCAAGTGCAGAAGCCTTTATTATAGAATGACTTTTGTTCCTTTGGATAGATGCCTAATAGTGCTATTGCTGGATCAAATGTGGTATTTCTATTGTTAGCTCTTTGTGGTATCTCCAAATTCTTTTCCACACAGGTCACACTAATTTGCAGTCCCACCAGCAGTGTAAGAGTGTTCCTATCTCTCCACATCCTCACCAGCATTTGTTGCTTTGGAATTTTTTGATAAAGGCCAATCTTTCTAGGGTTAGGTAATATCTCATTGTGGTTTTGATTTGCATTTCCCTAATGATTAGAGATGTTGAGCATTTTTTAATGTGTTTTCTGCCCATTATTCTGTCTCACTTTGAAAAGTTTCTGTTGATGTCCTTGTCCTGTTGCCCAGGCTGGAGTGCAGTGGTGTGACCATAGCTCACTGTAACCTTGAAATCCTAGGCTCAAGTGATCCACCTGGCTCAGCCTCCCGAGTAGCTAGGACTATAGGCATATGCTACCACACTTGGTTATTTTTAAAATTTTTTGGTAGACACAGGGTCTCACTATATTGCCCAGGCTAGTCCTGAAATCCTGGCCTCAAGCGATCCTCCTACCTTGACCTCCCAAGTTGCTATGATTACAGACTTGAGCCTGTGCCTTGCCCTCTTTACACTCCTGAAAATTAATGAGGACCCCAGATAGCTTTTGTTTATGTAGGATGTATCTATCACTTTTTTTTTTTTTTGAGACAGAGTCTCACTTTGTTGCCCAGGCTAGAGTGAGTGCCGTGGCGTCAGCCTAGCTCACAGCAACCTCAGTCTCCAGGGCTCAAGCAATCCTACTGCCTCAGCCTCCTGAGTAGCTGGGACTACAGGCATGTGCCAGCATGCCAGGCTATTATTTTTATTTTTATTTTATTTTTTATTTTTATTTTTTTAGAGTAATTAGAGATCTGAAGTGATTTTACTTTTATTTCCTTCACGGTAAGCCAATCATGAGATTTCACAGTGATTTCTGGGTGGGGCAGAAGGAGGTGGTGTTAAGCATCAGCAGGGCTGTGGCCCCGCTGGCCTGAGGAGGTGCAGGCAGGGTGGGTCCTCCTCACTGGGGCAGCTGCAGGAGCACGGACTGCCCCGCCGGCAGGTAGGTGATGTTCCGAGAGCGTGACAGCTGGTACGCAATGTCCTCGGCGGCCCCCAGCTTGCGCAGCTCGATCAGGCCGTCCCCCGCGGTGGCCAGCGAGTTGGCGATCAGCTCGGCTGCCTTGGAGTCGCCCTCGGCAGAGATGATGGCTGCCTTTTTCTGCTGCTCAGCCTTTTCCACCACGAATCTGGCCCTCTCTGCTTCCTGCTGAGCCACCTGTTTGGCTTCCACCGCTTCTGTGAACTCCTTCCCAAAGGTCAGATGCGTCAAGGAGACATCGTCCAGGATGAGCCCGAAGGTTGCTGCTCGCTCCGTAAGGTCATCGCTCACCTGCCTGGAGACCAGCTCTCTCTGGGTGATTAGTTCCCCTGCATCAAAGCGAGCCACCACTGACTTGAGGATCTCTGTAGTGATGGACGGCAGCACGCGCTCGTCGTAGTCCTCTCCGATGCTGGTGAAGATGCGCGGGAGCTGGCTAGCCACAGGCTGGAAGAGGATGCACAGCGTGATGTTGACATTCTGTAAATCTTTGCTACCAGTGATGACTGGCACGTTACGCGGTCGAGAGCGGCAGTCAAAGATAATTGGTTTCTGTACCCATGGGATGAGAAAGTGAGTCCCTTCCCCTACCACAATGTCCTGCACTCCACGGAATCGGTCAAAGATGACAGCTCTGTGCCCAGCATCCACATTATACAAGGCAGAGTTCACCACGCCTCCTGCAACGGCCAAGGCCAGGCCGAACTTGCCAATGGACTCAAACACTTTGGCAGCCATGTTTCCTTCTGTTGGACCCACTCACACCTGCTTCCACTCTGACCTCCACATGAATTCCCCCTATTTTTATTTTTTTTTGTATATATATTTTTAGTTGTTCAATTAATTTCTTTCTATTTTTGGTAGAGACAGGGTCTTGCTTAGGCTGGTTTCGAACACCTGATCTCGAGTGATCCGCCCGCCTCGGCCTCCCAGAGTGCTAGGATTACAGGCGTGAGCCACTGCGCCTGGCCTATCTATCACTTTTTAGCATGTTAGAAATCTGAGAAATTTTTAGAACATCAGAATACACAAGCACACATTCTATTAGCTATCAGTGGGATAATATCACATGTTGCATAGCCTCTGGAAAGCACTACATTTGTGAGAGAATAACAGTGAAAAAGGGCCAGTAACGTTATACTATTAGAAAAATAGTTTTGCTCTCATGGAATTCCTGAGAGGGTCTTGGGCTCCCTAACCCATTTGGAGAATTGTCATATTAGAAGATCATTCTGGCAATGGTATTAAGAATTGTTTAGAACCTACAAAAAAGCACATTTTAAATTGTGGTCCAGTATGTACATGTGCATGCATATGCATACCTGAAACAAAGTTTTGGGAAACAGTATTGTATTAGTTGTCGCTTGTATCATAACAAGTTACTTCAAAACTCACTCGATTGAAAAAACAAACATCTCAGATTTTATGAAGAACGCAGCCGGCTGGTTCTGGCTCAGGATATGACATGAAATTGCAGTCAAGGTGTCAGCTGAGTCTACAGGCATCTCAAGGCTTGAGTGGGGTTGAAGATCCTCTTCCAAGGTATCTCACATGTTAATGGCAGGAGACCTCAGTTCCTGGCAATGTGACTCGCCATTGGGTAGTTTAAATATCCTCACAACATTGCAGCTAGCTCCCCCTAGAGCAAGTGATCTGTGAGAATGACCAAGACTGAAGCCCCATGTGTTTTATGACTTAGTCAGGAAAGTAATATATTAGTGGAAGCAAGTCACTAAGTCCAGTGCACACTCAAAGAGGAATTTTGCTTCCCTTCTTGAAGTAAGGAGTATCAAAGAATTCATGGACATAATTTAAAACTACAACAATTGTCAGGAGAATGAATCTTCATGAATCTCCTGTTTCCTGCATACCTTGCTGAGTATGCCAAGAATGCAAGGCCTAACTGCTCTCAGCCCAGCCCAATTTTCAGGACTGTGTTTGCAGTGAGCTGCCTTGAGAGAGGAGGTAATATCTCTCATTTGGACAAAGAGCAAGCCTGCTTATTACTCACTATAAAAGTGGTGGATTCCCTAAGCTCAGTGTTCCTCAGCCATGATGCAAACCCACTGCATGTGTAGCATCCATTTGAGACCCTCCATGTCACCTTGTGGGACTTGGTAACCGGGTGCCAATGCAAACACACTCATACTCATGAGTGTGAGTACTGAAGTTCTCTATCTGACCTAGGAGATGCATGTGTTCTGTCAGTATCCGTGAAACAATCCAGGGCTAATATTTTAACTTGTAAGTAGGGTTGAATAAAATCCCAGACCTTTCTTCACAGTTGTTGAGGATGTTTACTTTTAGTGTCATGCACTTTGAAAATAAGCTATATATTCTATGCTCTGCTCTATTCTCACTTATTTTATTAAAATTAGAAAAACAAGCTTGGTTGCAATCTACCAAACTGATTTTGCAACCTATTATTGGGTCATAACCTTAAGTTTGGAAAACACTGATCAAGGAGTCAGATTAGAAAGTTGTTATAATTCAGGTAGGGTATGATGGCATAAACCAAGGTAATAATTGTGAGAATGCAGGAAGAGAATCAATTTAAGAAATATCTGGAAGTCAAAGGATAGGAATTGTATTCTTTGATATATAGGATGTGAAGGAGATTTAGGATTTAGGAAGGACTTTCAGTCTTCTGGCTTGAGCAACTGGTGTCATTCATTTGAATAGAAATTGTCCACCCACCATGTTCTTTTTTTCTGCTGCAGGAGCAGATTTAGTTATGGAGTAGTGAGACAGATGTGGAGTTCTGTTTGGGGGCATGATGAGTTTGAGATGTGTATGAGAAATACAAGTGAAGATATCCAGACAGTGGGATATTTGGTTCTGATTGTCAAAGAGAAGATTAGTACTAGAGATGTAAATCTGAAGTCTTTATTGTACAGATTAGATGTTAAGTTGGTGGGGGCCGGGAGAAATGATTTCCCAAGGATGATATTGTAGTGTGAGAATAATACAGGAATAAATATACAACTCTAGAGATCAGAAATATTTCAGGTAGGAATGACCAGAGAAGGTGGAGGACTAGGAGAAAGGAGGGCCTGATATAAAGAAACCAAGTAAGGAGAGTGTCAAGAAATTGGGAGTGCTTAAGATGGAAGACTGTATTTATAGGCAGAAGTTACAAAGGCATTAGAGAGAAAAAACAATAATTAAATAAGTTTCTGTGAGGGGAACCATAGGGAATGGGAACTAAAGTACTCATGGAAGGATTAGCTTTAGCCCACTGCATCAGAGTAGAGGGAAACAAGTTAAGGAGGGTGTTGATGTAAATGAAAGTGTGGTAAGAGAAGTTGAGATAGTTCCTATTTGATTTGTTTCTCTGTGATATAGGAGGTAAGGTACCGTGTTTCCCTGAAAATAAGACCTACCTATAAAATAAGCCCTAGCAGGATTTCTAAACATTGGTGCAATAGAAGCCCCACCCCGAAAATAAGCCCTAGTGATGGGCATGGCTACGCAGTGCATCTGCACAACCCATGCATTTCGTCGCGGAGTGGTAAAGAAGAAGAGCAGCCCTTCTCATCTGCCCCATGAGAGCTCTATTGCTCGACATGAGAGATTGGGGTCAATGGTTCTAAAGGAAATAGAGTCGCAAGAAATTCAGGAATTCGGGGTTTGGAGAGTTATGATGATGTTCCAGAAGAAGACGACTTAACTATATTTGAATAAATGTAGATTGTACTGTACTTAAAAAAAACAACACATCCCCTGAAAATAAGCCCTAGGGTGTCTTCTTGAGGAAAAATAAATATAAGACTGTCTTATTTTCAGGGAAACACGGTATATTAGATTGGTAGGGCTTTGATAAGAAAGCGTCATAGCCTGGGTGGCTTAAACAACAATTTATTTTCTCATCATTCTGGAAGCTAGAATTATGAGACCAATGTGCCTGCTTCGTTGATTTCTTCTGAGGCCTCTTGCTTGTAGATGGCCATCTTCTTTTGGGTGTCTTAACATGGTCTTTCCTCTGTGCTTGCCTGTGTCCTAATTTCTTTTTATAAGAACACCAACCATATTGGATTAAGGCTAACCTCAGTGACCTTGTTTAACCTTAATTACCTCCTTAACGTTCCTGTCTACAGACGGTCACATTCTGAGGTATGAGGGGTTAGGACTTCAGTTTATGCATTTTGGAGAGGGACACAGTTCAGATGTAACATGGAGTTGTTTGCTGGAAGTGACAGGCAGAAGACAAAGGTTTGAAATAACTACCATAACAAATATTCAGTGGGAAGCTAAAAGTTTTGTAGGACTCTGTGGGGCAGGGAACATTATGGGATCAGCGGAAGTTGGAAATCAAACTGAACAGCTACATGGTTTTCTGCAGCAATAATTGGAATTCCAGGAATATAATCAGTAAAGGTGTTTCTTTTGGATTAATCAAGGGGAAGGGAATTTGGAATCTGTGAACTTATTTTATCAAACTTTTTTTTTGAGTCTCACTTTGTTGCCCAGGGTAGAGCGAGTGCCGTGGTGTCAGCCTAGCTCACAGTAACCTCAAACTCCTGGGCTCAAGTGATCCTCCTGCCTCAGCTTCCCGAGTAGCTGGGACTACAGGCATGTGCCACCATGCCTGGCTAATTCTTTCTATATATATTAGTTGGCCAATTAATTTCTTTCTATTTATAGTAGAGACGGGGTCTCACTCTTGCTCAGGCTGGTTTTGAACTCCTGACCTTGAGCGATCGATGATTCCCCCCCTCCCTCGGCCTCGCAGAGTGCTAGGATTACAGGTGTCAGCCACTGTGCCCGGCCTGTCAAACGTGTATACTATCCCTAGTCCAGGGCGTGGGCTCCCAAAACTGAGGCAGCCAGCCTCCCAGTTGGGCCCAGCAGCCAAACCGTGGGCTGGACCCGCTCAGTCCCTGGGCCTGCACTGCCTACAGGGTTGGCCTCTTGGGCCTGAAGCTGGAGCCTCAAGTATGGGAAGGGTGGTTTCTTTTTCTTTCTTTTTTATTTTTTTGTCACTTTTTTTCCTTTGTTTTCTTAAGAGACACCAGAATTAATAACTATATATCTATATATATATATATATACTTTTTTTTTTGAGACAGAGTCTCACTCTGCTGCCCAGGCTAGAGTGCCATGGCGTCAGTCTAGCTCACAGCATCCTCAATCTCCTGGGCTCAAATGATCCTTCTGCCTCAGCCTCCCAAGTAGCTGGGACTATAGGCATGTGCCACCATGCCGGGCTAATTGTTTGTATATATTTTTGGTTGGCCAATTAATTTCTTTCTATTTTTAGTAGAGATAGGGTCTTGCTCTTGCTCAGGCTGGTTTCTAACTCCTGACCTTGAGGGATCCACCGCCTTGGCCTCCCAGAGTGCTAGGATTACAGGCCTGAGCCACCACGCCTGGCCAATAACAATAGTTTTGATTTTGAAAAAAACAAAACAAACCCCAACACCAAAATAAAACTAAACAAAAAACCTTTATTGTGTAATTTATGCAGCAAATTACTCTATAAAGTATATAGTTTGATAAATTCCGATACATCTATGTGCTGGTGAAAACATTACTGCAAACAAGATAAAGAACATTTTCATCACCCCCAAAAGTTTCCGCTTGCCTCTTTATGGTCCATCTCCCTCTTCACCATGTCCGTAGGCACATACTTATTTGCTGACTGTCGTAATATCTTAGTTTTGGAATTTATATAAATGGAATATGACTTTTTTGGTCAAAAATTCTTTTTGGCACATAGTTTAAAAGTATAAGAATTATTTTTCTGTGGCTACCATATTTTTAAAAGGAAATTTATGTTTTGGCCCGGCATGGTGGCTCATACCTGTAATCCTG